TCTCGTAGAAAAATAAAAGCTTGCAGAAAAGAAAGCATTTCTTAATTGAGAACAGGATTAGGTGTGTTCTGGTAATTGTGTGATTGTTAAAAAATGTAAATCCTGATTGTTTTGCTTAAACAGCTTCTATAAATGTCTTTCTTGTTAAGTCTCTTACAAAAGCTGTCGTGCATTCATAAAGACATTGAAAATTGATTGTCAAAAGCTTTACAGAAACGGATATCGGAAATAGAACAAAATATTTGGATGTATATTTCTTTTCTTAAAATAAATCTTATTGTCGCAATATATTGAACCGTTCGGACGACCTAAATAATCATTAATGTGCTCTTTCAATAAAACTGAAAATTTTGCATGCATTCAAAAAAATTTGGTTTTGCAGATTCAGTTAAAGAACGCATGTCAGAAATAGAACAAAATATTCAACTGTTCTTTTCTTAAAATAAATCTTATTGACGCAATATATTGAACCGTTTGGACCACCTAAATAATAATAAATATGCTTTTTTAATAAAACTGATATTTTTATTATTTATGCGCGAAATATTGAATTTACAAAAATCTTCAGTTTTGTATATTCAATGGAGGAACGGATGCCTGGATGAGATCAAAATATTCAAATTTATATTTCTTTTCTTAAAGTAAATCCTACCGTGTTGTAATATATTGAACCGTTCGGATGACCTAAATAATTATTAATGTGCTCTTTCAATAAAACTAAAAACTTTGCATTTATGCGAAGCATTGAATCTGCAAAAAATTTCAGTTTTGTAGATTCAATCGAGGAATGGGTGTCTATAAATGGAACAAATAATTTAAATGTATTTTTTTTTTTCAAATCAATTCCTTTCGTCGTAATAACTTTTAATGAGCCACCTCAATAAATGTAATGTTTTTTTTCAATTTTTATAAGACAGAGTTTTCTGATTAAGCGGGATAATTTTATTTTTCATTGTTTAATGTGACAGTAAATTTCATGATTTTTAATTTTATTTTTTTAATTTAAAACGTTTAATTTATAATGGTTTTCACCATAATAATATGCTACAAATAAAAACAATTATAAAAAAGGTGATTGGACAGCGAAGTTCATAAGTATTGGCAGTATTTAGTACTATTGGCAGTACTTTCTGCGCTTTTTGTAAAAATTTATTCTAGTGGTAGCTATGTTTATGCTTTAGTATATTACTTTTTAATTCATTTAAACTTATTTTCCACACCACTGCATATAAATGGCTTAAAAGTTCATATGAAACGCCACTTTGTTCCAGCTCTTTCGTTGTCTTAAGATGTCGGCTAAATTACCGAAGCTTGGCTTTTAAATGTCTATCACTCTATACGAAAAAATTTCAAAAAGCGTATTAGTTAGCAGACCTGAGCATGAAACAAATTTATTAAAACTATTGTAATTGTCACCACTGTTAAAATGCAAACCAAGTTAAATAATTTTTTCCAATTTGATATGTTATCATATGACATCAGCAGCATGATTCTTTACTGATGCATATCTCTCCAAAATACAGAAAAAAGTAAAAACTTCACCAATGTTAATCGATGCAAAGTGCCCCTCCTTTTCTATTCTATTTGCATTCATACCTCCACAATGTATATCAATCACTACACCGTTAGTTAGAAATTCATGATGAATGGAGGAAAAAAGGATGTATACGGCCCAGGTGCCAGTTTCAGAATCAGGACTATTGCATGTGTTTCACCAAAATAAATTCAAAAAATCTTCTGTCTAGCACCTTTCCTCTTCCCTTAATTAATCCTTCAATTTACATGATTTTCATTATATGTCTGTTAATTTTCAATGAATCGGTTAATGCTGCTTCGTGGCTATACTCTGGGGTTTGTGTCATTTCCGCTGACGCAAAGACACGGGTATAAAAGACGATCTGTACAAAAGGATTAAATTGCATATTTTCAATCAATTTGCTCAATTGGAATCAGTTGCTTCAATTGGGCACATAGATGGCGTCTTATAAATATGATGCTGACTTATGAAAAATATACAAAAAGCCAATTTTAATCTTGAATCCATAGCTTTTGAGATCTTTGATACAGATGGTTACACTTCCATTGACAGGGACCATATCCAAAGCTCGTTGATCTATAAGAGATCAACGAGTAACGATCGAAGTAAAGATCAACGATCGAATAAAGATCGACGGAACATCATTCTAGTAAATTTTTATATGTCATAAATAAGATCAGGTTAACAAGCTAACCCTTAAAAATATTGGAAAATTACTAGTTTTATATGAAATCCATAATTTGGTTGTGTTCCATTCAGTGCCGCTAGTACCCTGGAAAAAGTCAAATACTGGTAGTAAAACCATTTCTTTTTCTTCCTTGTTTTCTCAAGATAGAATTTTCCTAATTACCAAGTTTTATTAACAGTTATTTTTCGGTCTAGGAAGCAGTCGTGTATATACGTTATAGTTTTTAAGAACACTTGCTAACCAAAGTAATTTCTTCTAAGAAGCTAGATATAATAAGCTTTCCTACCAGATTTTTCACTTTTCCAGGGTAAAAACAACCTTGGTTCAATTATGTGAAGTTTGTTTAGTAAACTGCATTCGAATATACTTTAATTAAAGAATTAAAAATAATAATAAAACGAATTATAAATCACATACAGCGAAAATAAAATTTGTTTGCTTTAGTATATAAGAGATTTAGAATAAGTGAAGTTAAGAACAAGGGTGTAGTTTCTTAACAATCCCTCCACATTTGTTTTTGAAAAAAGGTTTTAAGGAACAATAATCTACCACATGATTAACCCTTTCTCGCCGACTGTCACAAATACGTGCCATCATAAAACTGTATCAATCAGGGTGAAAAGATAAAACTGGTAACCAAAGTAGTTCCTTAGCAGTTTATTGGAGCATGGAGTTAAACAAACTACAATTTGTTTTCTCAGTAAGCCTGCCTGCCACTGCGGGTATAAAAAAATCCTCGAGATAAATTAAAATAAATTATGTCCAACCTGCTTCCGAAGCTAATAGATTTAAAATCTCACACTGAGTTTTCGACCTCAAACCTAGGTCACTTTGTTTTTACACTAATTTAATTCAAACTGTTAATATTAGTCAACAAAAATTTGTGTTTTTTCCCTAGGTGTTAGCAAGAAATTACCATTCAGCGAACAAAAGATTGTCTCAGCAAATGTTACGAGTTATTCACAAATCTTGCCAGAAATGGCACAGACAAACCTATTCATCAAATTTTTTTTCTTCTTTTTCGCATATAAACTATGGTCGCCCTCCCGTCGTTTTGTTAATAAGGAATCTCAATTCGTCTCATTCCTTGAAAGGAAAGTGTTTCAACTCTAAATTGTATCTAGGTGTTATCGCTCCGCGCTATAGCGGATATAGTTCTATCCACCCACCACGTCTTCACCTCGAACACTCTTATTTTCTTTGCACTCATCCATTTAAAAACTTCTAATTTGAAAGGGCTTTTCTAGTATTCGGAGGTGTGGAAGAACAATTTGAGCGAACGTTTGAACAGATTGATGTCAAGAGAACAGGACTTGAGGAGTGAAGGGTGGAAACATTGTTCCAAAGAACAATTAAGGGTGCGATATACCTTGGTGGTGATCACCCATTGATGAGTTGCTTCGAACAGGATACTTTGCTGCTTTGTGCGTTATGTTATTCGTAAATTTGCAAACAAATAATAGATGTGAAGGAATTTGGTGATGATGTCACAAATCGAGATGGAATAATAATAGATTTCACAACCAAGAGTCCTTCAGGAATATACACAAGACATTAGAGGTTATTTGACGTAACAGCCAATTTTAAAAGCGTGTTACAGCTAATGCAGTATGAAAAATATCTGTTCCAAAGTACGAAACTTTTCCTTCGTTTTGTTTGGGTTTCTAGTACAGGGTTTTTTGTTGCGTAGCCGGTGTGTCAAGTGAAACCCAATCATCTTAGGTTAAGATTAAAGATCCTATCAGGACAAAAATATCTTTAACCAATCCTGAATTAAAAAAGGGAGATCAATGATCCACCCACATTAAACCCCGCTGGACAAAGGTTATGCTGAAATACTTAATTGGTATTTTTCTCACATTTTAAGCGGATACATAAATATCGCCAACCAAAACAGGTGTTCTAAAAATTGGACGGGACCGGATATGCAATTATCTTTAATTTCCTCCTTAAACAAAAGGCAAATAAATGGTAAAATTAAAATAAATATGAAACACTAAATAATATAAATTAAAATATAAATGTTCCTTTTTTGTTTCACACATATATATATGAACACCCTTTTTTTATGTGTCTATAATTTTCCTTTGAACTTATATAATATTCGATTTNATATATATATAAACAGGAACACTTCTACCTTTCTGATTGGTTTTTCATTCAGTAAAGTGTTATAGTTTTTCCTCAAGGAATATTTTAAAATATATTTTTTAAAATTAACCTTGGTAGAAAGTGCTTATTTTGACTCAAAAACCACTTTATTCATAAAAATATTTTCTTTTCTTTTCTTTACTTCATACGATTTAGCTTGCAAAAATAAACATGCACTTGACATTCAACTTTAACTTTAAAAATTAAAAAGACTTAAAAAGACGTTACCTGTAACCCGTTTTCACGGATAATTTCAGGGCTGTCTGCTTCCATGCGTTTTGCAAAATATTTTCTGAAGCGGTAGACGATTCAAAACTGAAGCTATCAGAATTTTTGGTAATTTTGTCAACATGTTAAAAGCTTCACGACTACAGATCTGGAACAAAGTGATGTTCCATTTAAACTCTTGAATCATTTATATGTCGTGGTATGAAAAACAACATTTAATCAAATTTACAAAACATTGAATAATGCACTGAAACATAAACTTGACTACAAATAAAAGAAAAAGTTAGAAAGTCAGCAGCTATGGATAAATTACCTATGTTGGTTTATGTCTAAGTATTACCCATGGGGGAAATGTAAATTTATTTTACTGTAGTTATAATCCTACTTTTTTTTCAGGTTCCTATGCCCAACAACCAGAAACAAGAGTTGCCTCTTCTGATGTGAGTGAAACATTACTTTGTCTTATTAATGTTTTTTTATAAAAATTTTCATAAATTTTTTATCACTTCTCATCAATTTTTATTATTCTCTGAATTTTTATTCTCTTGTTAAATAGTTTATTTATTCATTCATTTACTTAGTATAAAATTCAGATTTGCTTTTAAGTGCAAAATATAATTAATAATGTGAGTTTAAGACTCACTTAAACGACTTAAACCCTTTGACGCCGAATTTCCATTAAACATATTTTCCCTACTTTTATCATTATTTTCGATTAATTTATTAATTTCAATTAATTCGATTAGGCCAAAATAAACGAAACATATTATTTTTATCCTTTTAGTAATGAATTACAGCATGATATAACGGTCTCTTTTATTGCGCTAAAGGTAAAATCTTCCAAACAAGGCTCAATTCCAAACAATAACTGACCAAATTCAATTTATTTGTATATATTTAGATCTAAGAAAATCAGTTATTCACTGTTGAAATTTTTTTAATTTACAAAATCAGTTATTGTCAAAATTTTGAATATAAAATTTTGAAAAGAAAAACTTTAATGAAACTTTTTTTTTTAAATTTTACATTCTAGTATAAACATAATTACAATAACGGAGTTTCTAACGGAATTTTTAGTAACTATTAGACTGTTTTTAATTATTAAAATCTTATGATTAGAGAGTCAGAAGAAAACATAGAAAAAAGACTATGGCATTTTATTTTCGATAAAGGGTTAAGATTAACTTAAGAAATAAAAAAATTATGTATTTAGAAAAAATTTCATTTAAAAAAAGTTAGTTTTAACTCTTTGAAGCAAATAAAACGCCTTTTTTTGTATTATAGTATTTTTATTACCAAAATATTCATTACACAAATAAAATCTTAATAATAAAATTTGTGAAATTTTTTTGTGTATTTCAAATCTAACGTACAAAGCCGAGGTGGCTCAAGGAATGGAGTGCTCGCCTTCCAATGACCCGAGTTCATATCTCAGCGATGACTGATCGATACGAATTCCGCACCGGGCTCGCACCGACACACTGTGCTGACGTAAAATATCCTCAGTTGTTGACGGATCACGGGTTAAAGTCTCCTTGCCGACATGCTAAGCGTGGGAGGTTTCCGTGGTTTATATCTCCACGTAAAGCAAATGCGGGTTAGTTCCGTCAAAAAGTCTTCCACGTTGGCAACTTTCTCCCAATACTTGATCCAGGAGTTTCCTTGTCTTCTGGATAGGGTTCAAAATTACAACGCTACGGAGTTGAACATTGATAGTCGTAAACTGTAAATTGCATCGGCTGCGACGGTTCTGCAATAAAATAAAATCTAATGTACAAAGGATACATATCAATCAACCAGTAACTAATTTATCTCCTAAAAAATATGGTTTCTTAAAAGTCTTATACTCAATCTATCATAATCTTTTTCTTTCGCTCTATTAATGTTCTAAACAAATAAATTGCCCAAAGGTAGTTCTTTTTAAGTGGAAGAGAGATGATTAAATTGTTCTTCAATTCTGTTCGATTAGCATATTCCACGTGAATGATTACTAAAAATAAGTCTTGTGTAATCTATTGTAACATACTTTAAGTCTGACAGATTTTACAATCTTCCTCCTCATCCATAACTATTTTCCTCTTTTTTTATTTGAATTACATCTTTTTTTAATCCAATAATACGTATCATTTTGAAAGAAATATTATAATTAACTGATTAGAAATGGCACATGTCAAATACTATTCCCTGGGGTTCCCTACGGTCCATAAAAATTAAAACTGGTAAAAACATTGTAATAAACAACATATTATTGTCGGCCTTCAATGTCAACCTTTTTTTTTGTCTATTTCTTAATTATGCTAAGCGTCCTATTGAAAGGTGGTTCCTTTTTGCATAAAAAACAAAAGTGGTGGTTCACGTGTTTCATTATTGGCATTTATTTTTCAAAGGCAAAATAATTCTTTCGACCATGACATATTAATTACATAAATACAGTCATACCCCGCTATAGTGAACATGGTTTATAGTGAACTCCCGGATAAAGTGAACAAAATGTTCGCTCCCGTGCATTGCTATACACATATAATATTATTTTTTGGGGACATAGGGAACCAAATGAAGAGAGGAAATTGGATATTGCGAACTTTTTTCTGTTTTTCACTGATTTTTTTTCTTCATTTTTTTGGTAAATTTGAAATTTCAACATGAAATACATATACCGATTTTTAAAACCATCTATTGCGTGAAATGTAGCCATAAGCATTTTGTATTGCTTGCTTCTTCTGTCTCAGTTTCCTATTTCTAAATAAACGCCATCCTTAAATTTCTTGTAAGCAAGACGAAGAGTAATGAAAAATAAAAGTTACCACTATTTTCTGTTACGACATATTGTTTTTTAATCATTTTCGTATTTCTTTTTATTGGTTATTTATTAATATGTAATAAAAGGGAAGTTCGGAAAAATTAGTTAAAATTGTTTGCAGTATGGCTATAGTGAACTCCCGGTTATAGTGAACCGTAATTTCGTTTCCTTGAGGGCTCACTATAGCGGGGTTTGACTGTATTTATACCAGAAGTCGGAGCACAGTGCTTTTTAAAAGTTAAACTGGTAGGTAGCAGAAAGAAATATCCACCTAATATAAACAAAAACGTATTACCACTTTTTCATCTTACATGTGATTTTCAGAAATAGACAACCTTTTGTAGTATAGGGTATTATCAGAGATGCGCTTTCTAAGCAAATTTTTTTCCGGTGGCAACAAAATCTATGTTTCAAGGTATGATTATTGATTTAATTAGTTTGATTTAAAAAGACCACTACCGGTAAGTAATTCAAATGTAAGCTATTTTCTCTAAGTAAAGATAGAGGCCGCCCTGGCCGAGCAATATTGCCTCTCAGTAATTAGCGTAGATGTAAGCCGCTAGCCCTGGATCTGTATTTTCGGGTCCTATTATGTCAATTATGAAAATCTAGTAAAGATGCTATGTTTGCAAAATTATTGACGTAAAAGAGCTTACCTGCCTCCATGCACCATAAAATCAAGTCAAACACTGCCAGTTCACAAAGAACTATTAAAAGCTTCTCTGGACTTAGTCCCATGAAATCAACGAAAATGCTGATGTATATAACAATCAAAAATGAATTAATCAAACATAATAAATAAATGAAAACGTAGGGATGATATATCTGAACTCAAAGCTATATATCTAAGCGATTTCAGCTTTTACCTGAAGGTTTTTCAAATACTTAAAGTAGTAGTTAAATTGTTACTTTCAACGCTAGGTTTAAAGTAGTTCCTCCACCATGGCGTCTAAATCTATAGAAAAGTATATTGTAAATCTCGATGAGTATGTAGCTGTCGAAATTTAGAAAACGGAAAAATCTACTGAATCTACTGAGCGGAAAAACTACTGTTCCGCTCAGTAGATTCAGTAGATTAGATTTCACTACTATTTCCATTTTTAATACTGAGGAGAGCTCGAGATAAGCAGCTCTGATTTAACCCACTCCCTTCAGAAGTGGCGTTTGGATTCTGAAGTGATGCAAAATGTTCCTTTTTGAAAAATGTGGTAAGAAATTAGACAGACAATTCTGATGCAGGTAATCTTTGCCATTTGCCACCATGTAGACAAGCAGTAGAAAACGAAATGATGCAAAAAAGGAAAGAAAAAAAAGAAGAAGAAATGGAAGGATTAGACCGGAACTTAATATTATGTCAAAAACAAGGTGCCTGAAATACCATACCATGTTACGTTACGTCAAATAACAGGTGATGGGATAAGTTATCAGCAAACTGAGGCCCACGTGATAATTTTGCTATTCGAATACTGCTTGTAATCGCATTTATGGTGTAAACACAATCGAGATTTTAAATACATACTTTGAGTTATTACAGTATAGTGAGGTTTAAAAACATTTTAAAAAAGTTTTTTCTTCTAAAATTTGCTACTGGTATTTAAAGAGATTTACAAATGCTGATATTTACAATTCGAACATACGGGTAGAAGACCGTATATTAATTTATGATGCTACAATTTTTAGAATAAATCCTCCTACTATTACCCATTGATTTCCTAGTTTAGAAAACCCTAAATTTGTTGGTGTTTACACAGTCTCTGAATAAACTACTTAATAAACTACTAATGAATAAACTATTTAAATTTTAAAGAAATAAATCCTTGTCTCGTGTGGTCCTTAAAATCGAGTCATAACTAAAGACGAATGTTTAATTTCACATTTTACATTTTAAAATAAGAACATTCAGTATATTAATTGAAACATTCTGTGTTAATTAATTGTTTCCATAGGCATTGCTTTCAAGTGAAGTTGAATACGTTGATGGACCACTAGTACCGCTCTATGATTTCCTCATACAGAGAAGACTTACAAAATTTTGCAAATTGCTGAGAGATGCCGGACTAGAGGAAACACTCATTAATCTAGGAAGTAAGTTCTTGGATTATAAAGTTCATTTTAGATTTGTTTCCTGATAGCAGTGCCTACAATCCTATATTTAATAGTAGTAATTACATTTGAATTATTTCTATGACATTGTAGGTCAATGCATTATAACACTTATTATATCCCCCCCGGCCTTATATAATATTATAACGCCGGGGGAAATATACCTACCACTACATTATTTACTTACCACCTATTTTCATTAGTTAGACATTACTTACTTACCCCCTATTTATAAGTCAATGAAAGGCGATTTTCCCACCAATGATTTGATTGGCTATCTGCTGATAACTGCAGAAAATACAAAAAGAAATACTAATGAAGGAATTTTTTTACATAAATGTGTATAAACATAAAAGTTAGCTTGAGTTAAGAAGAGAAACCAAGATTGGCGAGTTATTTTCTCTTGTGCGTTATGAATTTGTACATTTGACCATTTCTCATCCACTTTATCTGTATTAATAAGCCCTGAAGTTCAAGTTTATGGTCAATTCTTTGCAAAAAGGTTGACATTTTTATCCCTCTTTCCACAGAAAATAAATTTTAGGTAATAAGCTAAATGAATTTAGTTTTCTAAATTATTCTTAATTCTAAAACTGCGTATGAATAAATATATAAAACTTCTCTTCAAATTGCCAAAAAAATAATTTATAACACTAATATCTTATGAAAAGCAGATGTTTCGAGCTCAAGCTTCACTTTGGTGATTTCTTTTGATGAAAACTAAATCAGCTATTAGAAAATATGGTCTTTCGTAATAAGCCGTAGTAAGTAGCCGTCAACTTCCAACCGGAATTAGTGAAGGGAAAAGTTCGCGATTTGTTTGTGTTTCCATTTGTATTGAAAACACCATCCTTAAAAGGTCTCTCTTCTGTCGACCGAGCTCAACTGCCAAAAATGTGGAGACGGAAAAAGAAAACTCTAAATATGCTTTTAATCCTCTTTATTTAATTTTAACACATGAACATATGATGGATATTTACTCTATTCGACCGTATGTTTTGATACATGTAAAATACTAAGCCATCATCCAATCAGAATTTGAGATATAAAACGTGTAGTATTTTATCTTCTTTCTATATTCATTTTTTTCTGAGAAAAATATGCTAATACAATTCTGCATCTGCATACTAATACAATTCTGCATTTTTCTAAAAGGTAGCTAAATAGTATGCAGCTGTCAAGCTTTAGATTTTTTAGTAACTATAGCGTGATAAGTTTTGACAGAATTTTTTAGCATAAGCCAAATCGATTTTCATGAGTTTTGACTGTAATAAACTTAAATTTTAACAATGTAGAAACTTCATGCATATGTGTAGTTTCAAATGACTTACTCAAGACTACAAATTTCATGAAGCTTTAAAGGCTTGAAGGAGATTCCATATAAGTTCTAAAAATTAACAAGAGCTATTTTTCTTACTCTAATTAAGCGACGCTTTTTTCCCATCCTTTTTAAACGTTATTATGCTATCGAATAATGCGATATCATCGAATGTTTGTTAAGAAGGAAAAAATATCGACATTTTGAATAGTCCTAAAATTCTAAATGGTGAAGGCAGACTCTTTATATCTTGAATTCCGTCTTCACATCAATGAAATAAATGTGGTAAATACAAATCTGTTGCTTTCCTTCTTGACAGGCTACTGGACGCTTTTTGTTCCAACTGATTCTTCTTTCTTCTTCTTGCCCGGTGGAACATTGGAGAATTTAAAGAGGAATCCTCAGCAGCTGAGGGATTTCATTCTCTACCATTTCGTCAGTGGAGATCTCCCCTCCTCACAAATCGTCAACGAACTCCTCGTTGACTCAGTACAAGGAGCACCCCTCCGATTCAACATCTATGGACAGGTAAAACATCAACCTCATTCGAATTTAGAATATTTTTCCTGCTGATATACCATGTCATTCATTCTATTTTTATTTAAATTGCCTCCTAAGAGCGTCTTGCTTTTTGTGTGAAAAAGATGACACCATTAGTTTTAGACTCTGAGCAGTTTTATTCAATTAACGCGGACTTCCTGCTAAATATTTATTTATTTACTTACTTATTTTTTTGATTAAGCAAGTGTTTTTCAAACGTATGACTTTTGTGTAACCTCTTCAAATTGTTCGTAACGCTGCGTACCACTAATAAGAAAATGAATGTATTTCTTACAATAAAAAAATAGCACAAAAGTTAAAAATCACAACTGGCTGTTGACACCACTAATTATTAACTGTTAACTCTGCAAAAAATAGCCAATAGAAAAATACGTAATCGTAAATTTTCATGGCTAGCTTTGTTTTTAAATGAAAAAAAAATTGAAATTTTCGTTTGTTGCAAGATATTTCGCACAAGAACGCGTGCACCCGCTAAACTGTTCCCGTACCCCTGGGGGTACGCTTGCCACACTTTGGGAAGCACTGGATTAAACCAACCATTTGGTGATAATTTTCTATCCTGCAAATGTCTTTTTATTTACTGCCTAGGATTCTCTTTGATTTACTAAGAATATTCCGAATAAACTAACTATTTGATGTAATTATTCACTGGAGAATGTTGCCATATTGACTATGCGAATGTCAACATTCGCTGGAGAATGTCAATATTCACTCTATTCGATCTTAGATTATCTGATAAATATTTATGTCTTTTTAACTAATTAAAATAAACTTTTGAGGACAGTTGTATTGTAAAATATGTCCTGTTATTTCTGCCAATGATTCTCTTCGATTTACCTAGAATACTCTAAATAAACCAACTACGTGAATGTTAAAATCCACTTTAGAATACCTATGAAGAATGTTTAAAATGGCTACGTTAAAGTTAATATTCAATGTCTAACTTCATGTCGAATGTCGAACTTCACTCACTTCGGTCTTTCCTGTAACATATACAGGTGATTATCAAAATAATGGAAACACTTGTGAATAAAAGGGACATTTAAGAATTCGCTTCATAAGCATTAAAATATAATCTTAGCTACCAGTTTTTTTTAATATAAAAGTACATATATTAGGTGGTATGAGAGAGCTTTAGCAGAGTTGTCTACGTTTTGATTTTTTGTCAGAAACGTAAAATGTCAGACCTCACAGATTTTCAGAGAGGCCAAATTGTAGGAGCCCGACTAGTTGGAGCAACAGTGACCGAAACATCCCAGCTTTCAGGCGTTTCTAGAGGTACGGCGTCTAAAGTCATGACAGCATACACACAGCGAGGAAAGACAAGCTCAGCAAAGCAAAATAGTGGACGGAAGGAGAAGCTGTGTGAAAGAGACCGACGAGTATTGAAGCGGATTGTAATGTCTAAAAAGAAAACAACTGCAGCCAAAGTGACAGCAGAGCTCAATCAGCCTCTGGATTCTCCAGTGTCAACAATTACAGTTAGGAGATACCTTCATAAAGAGAACATTTACGGCAGAACAAGCCTTCAAAATCTAGGGTGTTTCCATTATTTTGATAACCACCTGTATATTAATAACGTTACAATTATTAGTATCACATTTTAGTTTGCTCAGAAATACATAAACCATGTATTTTTTTCACTTTAAACAGTTTTTCTTACATTTAATAACACTTAAAATTAATAAATTGACGTAGTGAAAACTCTGTGAAATTAATAGTGAGTTGTTTTGTTACTGTTCCAGTTAATTACAGTTTCTGGAGCGCAGATAGTGGAGAGTGATTTACAGTATGAATTGGGTAGAGTGCACATAGTGGATCGTCCACTTCATCCTATTCCAACCGGAGATACCGTATCGTACTTGAGTACATCACACAAACGATTGTACAGGTAGCTCCTCGATGCCGGTCTAACTGACTACCTTTCAAGTACGTAAATTGATTCATTTATTTATCTTTAAATTAAGCTATTTTATAATTGTGATTGATAGCAACTCATTTAATGGTCATGGTCCCATTTTAAGGATAGTTCTATGAATGTATCGTAGTCCCACAGAAAACATTTTTTCGTCCTAGAGTACTTTTAGATGCTCATTTTCAACAATTCTATTCAGTGGCAGCTCTTTTAAAGTAATCGGGTGATAATAAAAACTTTTTTTTTTATTTCCGAGTCCGACTCGAAAGTAATTTCTACAAGGTCTTGAATAAAAGTCTTAAGATTATTAAGTTTTATAATCATAAGAATTAAGTATTAAGATTATTAATGTTAATTAATTTATAATTTAAAATCTTTAGATTACATTCGAGTACGGGAAAATTCGATCATGAGTTCAAAGCCTAAGATCATGTAAGAAGATTATATCCTAAGATCCGTTTATATCAAAAACGAAATAAATAAATAAATAATTAAACCAATGATATGAAATTCTCTTTTTTAATCATTTTCTAGGAGGTTTAATAAACCTGGATACTACATAATATTATTGTTTTGACATGTTTCTAATAGAAATATTTCACTATTTAATATTTTTAAGTTATAATTTAAATTTTGAATTTAAATTTGGTCCTGAGATCAATACCTAAGATCATATCATACGATAGTAAGTTGAACTTTTTATATTTTAAGCAGGAAAAAATTTGATTGAGGCGAAATTATTTTTTAATCAGTCTTTAGTAGGTATAATAAACCAGGTATATTCATGATGGGAATATTATGCAGTTTATTTTTTCAGTCATAATTTGAATTTTAGATTTAAATTCTAATATAATAACAAACCTTAAGATCACTACAATAATTGGAACTTCTTATATAAAAAAAAATTGGCAAAATTCACTTTTTTTTTATCAGTTTGAAGGAGGTGTAATAAGTATATTGCATATTATTGTTGCTTTGACATATTCATAATGAAAATATTTCATAATTTATATTTTAAGTCATAATTTTAAAAAAATTGAAAGTCGATCATAAGATAAATAATTATAAGATCATAATATAAGATGATAAAAGAAAAACTTACTTTTTATCGAAAACAACAACAAAAATTGTTTGAGTAAAATTCCCTTCTTAAATCAATTCCTATGAGATGACGAGAATATTACTATCATTATTGCTTTGGCATATTTATAACTTAAATTTTCATGGGGAATATTTCATCATTTAAATTTTAAGTTACCTTGCAACACCTTTTTTAAAAATGTCCACTGTATACTTCGGTTATTCACTGCATTTGCTACCACATTTTTTTTTCATTTTTTTTTTCTTTTACGAATATTTTACGAAACGCCCTTTGTTTTGAAAATGTTGTTTATTGATTCTTTATGTGTTTGAATTGAGTGAGTGTTCATGTCATTTTAGGTGGAACATTCACTATCTTGGCTCCTGACGATGACGCTTTTAGTTTCCTGAGCGCAGAGTTCATGGATGCCCTATCCGCTAACAGAAGTCTGTCTGAAAGTAAGAGTATATGAACATACTATTTAAAGGAAGGAGGGGATTAGCGTTTGGCTAGAGCAGGGGTTTCCAACTTACATGAGGACGGGGGCCACAGTTAAAAACACAAATCAAATGGAGAGCCGCAACTTTATCAAAATTTCATGTAGGACTCTTTTATGTTTGAAGGAACATTAAATATTACTGTCAGATTTTTACCAAGTTGTACAAAACAAAAGTATTGAATTACAAATTAAAATAAGAAGTAGATTTTTAAAAATACTTAATTGTTACTAATAATATTTTCAAAAATATTAAGTAAATAAAAATTCGGGATACAATAACTTTAATGTGCACCTATGTATTAAACAATTAATGTGCAACAGATATCCAATTGTTAAGATATAAAACTTTAAAAAGGTTGGTATTAAAACTTACATAGTAGCACACAAAATGTTCAATGAGAAAATTGAGGTTTGTCTGCTGCAACCACCAGAGAATAGATATTTACATTTTAAATTTAAAATTTACAAATGTGTGTGTAAATATTTTCGTCCAAAATGAGTGGTTTCAAAAAGTTAAATCGGAGAATTTCTTCGAGAAAATTTCTGATACACACATGCTAAATTATATTCACAAAATAAAAAAAAAAAATGAAATAAAAAAGAGCAACATACACGATTATTTTTGTATTTGAATAAATATTTTCTTGGATGCAAAACCAGAGAAATGAATTTTTTGCACCGTTGGTATGTTAAATTTCACAGAAACGAAGAAATTAGGTTTTTATTAACGAGAAAAATATTTTAAACCCATATAGATTTTTTACGAAAATTGTGCGCAAAAAAATGCCAACTAATATATTTCAGTTCGCGGGCCACAAAGAAAAGCTTCTCGGGCCGAAAGCGGCCCCCGAGCCGCCAATAAACAAACTCCTGGGCTAGAGTAAACAAATGGAATATATCTGTTATTTATCACAAAAAAGTATGAGTAAATTTTGAAAGATTTAAAAACTGTGTGACACTTTCATATGAAGTTACAAGACGAAACACTAGATAGCTAAATGACAAGTTGAAAAACAAGTTTTTTTTTGGTGGAAGAGTAATTACCTAATTTTGTTCATTTTTTTAAAAACATATACATAATTTTAACATCGTTTTTAACAATACATTAAACTATGTATGAATATACTAATACATATTTTAATAGTCCCATTTTTTTAACAACCGTCGTTCAACAGCCGACCCAATTTTGGGGTTTACGACTACTAATATTCAACTCTGTAGCCTTGTAATTTTGAATCCAATCCATGACAAGGGAACTCATAGATCAAACATTGGGCAAAATTTTGCATTCGTGGTGGACTTTTTGATGGAACTAACCCGCATTTGCGTTACATGGAGAGGAAATCCACGAAAACCTCCCACGGTTAGCCTGATATCAAGTGACGTCTAACTCATGATTCATCTACCACTGAGAGATATTTTACGTTAGTACTGAGGTCGGTGCGAGCTGGGTGCGGAATTCGGACCAAGCAGCCATCGCTGGGATTTGAACCCGGTTCACCTTATCGGTAGGCGAATGCTCTATCCCCTGAGCTACCACGGCTCCGGTAATAGGTATTAATTGAAATTTAAAAAATGAGCAATATACTAAAGCAAAACTAATGTATGGTACTAGTTAAAAGAAACGTAAGAAATCGCTATACTAAAATATTCGCCACTGCTTAAGTAATCGGTTCTAATTTAAAGAAAAATTTGAGTTACCCCCCTCTCCCCCCCCTAAAAAACACTTTAATTTTTCCACATAAAATCCATTTTAAAGATCGAAGGCGGGATATTAGAATTAAAAAAGTTAGCGTAGAGGAATCCGGGTAAATATCTATCGGTTAAATGCTGGACCCTTTATGTTAATGAAAACATGAGGGTAGGAAATACCGAGCAAGTATAAATCACGTAATTTTCCTCTTCTTTGAAAGACATGCAGGTAGGGAATACCGAGCAATGAAACACACATATTTACTCAAAAATGTTCTCCTTGAATCCAATTACTATAAATAATAATATCGATTACTAAAAATTAATGTCAATCTTGTTAAAGAAAGCAAAATAAAATATAAACCTAATGGTTGTACAAGAAAATTACTTCCAACTAATGCTAATAAATCATTAATCAGTACTTTTCGGCTAGCCGAGTGCAAATGAAATTCGCCTTTTTTATTTTTGTTTATTTTAATGAATTTTTATGAGTTTAAAAAAAATAAATAAAATAAAATAAAATAAATATAAAAAAAGTTGGTGGAGGTCGGTCTACAATTTTAGGCGATATTTGGCTTGCACTCGGCTAACAAAATTGTATCTTATAATCAGACTTATTAAAATTATGGAATAATCATATTTTACTCAGATGCTTCGTCATTAGGCGCGCAATGAAACAATGTGTATAAAGTGTTTAATCATTTCATGGTTTGCCAGCCGATTTTCGACCTTGCATACAATTTGCAGACAACATTATAAAAAGAATATAAATTTGTATATTATGCTCGAATAAGTAATCATCTTTTATCTGTAGGAGTCCTGCTGAATCACATTCTTCCGGGAAGTTTGTATACCGGTGGCATCACTGATGGCATGCAGTGGGAAACTGTTGGGGGAGCCATGATTACTTTCACCATTAAACGAGGTAACTCTTTTTTTTTTTCTTCTTTAAATTGTCAACAAAACAGTCAATAAAATTCAAATGTTGTATTTTCATATAGTGTTGCATTTTGTCCTGTCAAGCTTCGCAAAACATGGAAGTATATTTCGTTCAGCTCATAAAAAATCTTAACCGTAAAGTCTTCAGATCCATAATAACTAACAATCGGAATCTTTTTTTTTAATTATCTGCTTCATGAGAATTTTTAACGGATCTTAGATACTTTAGTATCGGTTTTTTGCAATCGGTTTCTCTTCCCAAGCTCCAGTTTTTCTTATGACATTTTCAATCTATTTCTCGTCAAAATGTACAATTTTAAAAACGTTATGTATAACAGTGGCTCACGTGAACGTTGCGACGCAGGGGAGTTAGAGGAGGAGTTGGGGTATAAGGTAGTTAGAGCACATTTTTCTAGGGGATCTATGGGAGTTAGAGCACATGATTATAATTAAAACTGCACAGGAATCCATGCCCGGAAATGTTGTCAGATGCCTCTAGGGGTGCTTCCCTTTAATGAACTGTTTCTTTTTGTGCTTCTGAGCAGATCATTATACGAAAGCGCCTCTAGCTGCTTATGACAATATTTCCGGGCATCCAGGATTGGGTCTCTATGTTTGGAATTTAATCCTGATTGTGAGCCTTAACCCCTAGAATTTTCGTGATACTTTTACACCACCCTCTCTTATATATAACGTGTTTAAAAGTGTACTTTTCGACTGAGAGGCTTAAAATATCATTTCAAAGAAATCTGTAGCTTTTGGAGAATAACTTATTTCAGATTTGAAATTCTCACTCCCGAATTAGGTAATATCAAGTATTTGCAGAAATAGAACAAAACATTTGTTCCCTAATACTATCTTTAAAATAAAAATAAAAATATTTCGTTAGAATTATTACTTGTACATACCACAGTTACTTACTAAAACTAGCACTCTATACAATTTTGACTAAAAATGTTATAGGATCATTATTATTTCGACATATCGATCACACTGAAAAAAAACTGCAATGAACAAAAACGGAGGGAAACAAAAAGAAAAAAAATATTCCACTTATTCGCATACAATTATTGCACACAAAACTTTTTAAAGTTACTCAAATTTTCCCTTTTCACCTTAAATTTTAAAATTTATTTATCATAAGATTACTAAGCAAAGAATAAGAATTTTAATTATTTAAGCATAATAAGAAGTCAGACATAAGCATACCTTCCAACGTCTGAGGTTTCTGCAAACTTACAGGCACACATTTTTGGCGCTGTAGAAAATGCCAAGCAAGCAATAATGAAGATTCTTTTTAGAATTTGCAAAAATGTTTACTAAGCAAGGAAATAAAATATTAATTAATAAATAGTTATGTTCATTAATTTAATTGAAAACATGAGGAGAGCAAAGTTTTACATAAAATTTACTTAAGAGTAAACATAAAAGGAAGTTAACTATTTCTTCCCTTATAACTGTAAAACTTTATGTATTTTGATCATAAAATGTTACTTTGTAAGGAAATATTATAAATTTACTTTTTAATTCAATAAATGAAATAAACTTTTAATTGGGCACTTGCACGTCAAGAAGAAGAAGTTCACAGATACCCACACATGTGACCTATGACGTTAGCTCCAGCTGATCGTTTATTAACAAAATGGCGTGTTAAAGGTGAGCTAAAATTTCTCCACTTAAGTTAGAATGTTAACTAACTTAAAGTTTATTAACTACAGCGCCGTATCGCACATCGAATTTGCTGAATTATACATAATTCTTTTTCGGCTGATCTTTTACTTAACTTGGATTTATTATTTGTTTATGTATTTTATTGTAACCGTGATATACTTTTGGTTTGTGTACCTGGAAACTTCCATGCACAATTAGTTTGTTTATGTTCTACGAGGCTTCATTCCTGTCTTTGCGTTAAGTAAGAAATATATAGTGAAGGAATTGAAATCCTTGCGAAAGAATCCTTGCGAAAGAATCTTTGTGTAAGAATGTAGAATGCGTCCCTTAAGAGAATTGATATTTGACGGGATTGACTTGCTTGAATTCGGATGGAAGAAGCAGTTGCTAACATAAACAAATGCCACGCTTCAACAACCAATCAGGATCGAGATACCCACTCTAAAATACTTGCAGGTATCCTATTATTAGTCTTTAACTTTTTAAATATTTCGAATAAAAATAGAGCATAATAAAAAATACCGTCGATTAAGAAGAAATAATTTACACTGAACGATATCTTTAGAGCTTATGTGCTGATAACAACCAAAGAAATGTGCATAACTAAAACTGAATAATACAATTATGATTTATCTGTCCAATGTGAATGATCGAGCCAGTTGTCATTTTCTAATTATTTTTATGGGTATAGAAACCGCAAAGATTTAAATATTTTAATCTCATTTTATTCCTATACAATTGCTATATAATGTTGTTGCTGTTCTTACCAATCTCAGATTACATAGCTGGGCCAGACAATCCCCATTAATCCATGAATCTCCAATAAGTCTAAAAGCAATAGTTGGCACGTTACTTTTAAAAAGTAACGAGTAAAAGTACAAGTATTTTTAAAAAAAGTAACGAGTAAAAAGTTCTTATTTTAAAAAGTAACGAGTAAAAAGTACAAGTAAAAATACAAGTACTAAACAAAAAAAGTAACGATTTAAAAGAAAATTTCTAGGAAATCGAAAATTCAAAGTGACCTAAAATTTTATTGAATAATATTCTTATGTTCTTTAATGTTTTTGCAAAATTGTTGTTATTTATTTAATTATTTTTAATTTTGAAAGTTATGTACATTAATTTATTTTTAAATTCGGAAGAATATTATAATATAATCGTACAATATAATTTTAAAATCAAATATAATTTTAATATCAAACTTTTTATGGATTCGCACGAAAAAGAAATTTTTTCTAACATTTGAAAACTGCTTCAAAGAAAAGAAATAAACTGATTAAATATTTACGAGCAAGCAAGTCCCTCTAACTTTAAAATATCGTTGGCGCGACTTATAGCACACAATTATAATTAATAAACCTCAATATAGTTGATTAATGAGAAACGAATATCAAAATTTACGGAAACGACAATTCTTTATTCTTAGCCTAGTCTTATTAACTATTCCCTAGTTTATATTAACTTAAAGAGAGTCTTTTTTTATTTAAATAAAAATTTACATTTGCTAATTCAAAATAAATATTTGTTAATTTATTTAAATTAAAAAAAAAAGATAAAAGTGGTAGAAATCATATTATTACGGTATTAAATCTAATTCGAATGATACAAAGCTCCTTCAATAGTGAACATATAAAATACCCAGAAGCCAAACCAGAAATCAAAATTATCTGTTTACATATAAAAAGGAGCTTAGATTTATGTTAATTTTAGAACTATGAATTTTTCTTTTAAATTTTTATTTTATTTTCGGAAGCTTTATTTTATAAATAAATTACTTTGTTCGACATATTTATAAACATTATAACTTATGTTAGAAAATTTTTTTTTAAAAAATGCATTCATATACAGGAAACCCTTATAAATCCAATAAACTACAAATTGCATTTTGTTTTTAAATATAATTTTTTTTTTATTTTAAAATATTTCATAATGACAATTTTTGGATTTGTAATAATGATGTGCAATACTAAATCCACTCATAATAAAAAATTATGAACAAAAGTTTTATTTTAAAATTTTATGATATGAATAACTAATACGTTTACGTAATAGTATATATGATACGTTTAATATAATTCCAAAAAAAAAATATTTTGTTGCAAAATAAAAAATTATAATATTTTAGATTTTTTTAATGCATACCACATTTCCATTAAATAAAGCATTGTTTTTATAATTTAATGCTTAAATGTTAAAAAATGTAAAACTTGTGCCAAAATTTTTTGCAATAGTAATATGAAATTAGTTATTCAAATTATTTAAAAAAGCATCCAATGCGCACACATTGTTTACGAACTTTTTAACTAACATATTTAAATGAATGAAAAATGTTTCAAATAAATATAGAATGTTATTTTATAAATAGAAAATAATTAGATATTAAAATTTATATGAAATATAAAATTTTTATGAATAATTAGATAATTAGAAGCTTACCGAGTTTTAGAAAAAAGTAACGATTTTATTCGACATTTCCGTTACAAATACTTGTACTTTTTTCCTAAAAAAGTAACGAAAGTACAAGTAAAAGTACTAAATTTAAAAAGTAACGAAGTACAAGTAAAAGTACGTACTTTTTACTTGTACCGGCTGTACAAGTAACGAAAGTAAAAGTACTGCCATATATGATAGTTGGTCCTGGAAGACATCGTCTTTGGTAAAACCGAAACAAACTAAAATGGGGATAGGTAATGGCGGCAAAACACTTGTGGTACTCTGGGAGGGTCTTTTATCCCTGTTGAAAAGTAACGGCTCTAGTATGGCCGCTCATGAAAAGCGAATAAGCCATTATGTTATATCTAGATCTGAGCTGACAAGACCCACCCGGCCGTTGCTGCTATATAGTAGTTTTCACTTTAGAATTAAGTGTTAACGGAACTGCACAAAATTACTTAAATTTTAGTTCCTTTTTTTATTGATCTATTTATTTATTTATTTTCAGGCTTGGTGTTTGCAAATGAGATACCAATCGTGTTGCCAGACATACCTTTTACGAATGGAGTAATACAGGTTTTGAATAGAGTACTTTTACCAGAAGGAGTCGAATTTGATTGTCAGTGTAAGCCGTCAACCACTACAGCTCAACGTACTCCCTCCCAGGCACCTGGTCAGACGCAGAGGACAAATGTACCAACTACAAGAAGGCCTTCACAGCAGCAATTTCCAAGACAAACCCCTAGACCATCAGGGAGACAAACTCCGGGAAGTTTTGATCAAAGAAGACCGATTGCAAGTCAAACAGCCAGACCAACGGTTCCAACTCAAAGACCTTTCAATCCTCCTATCGGTCGACAACCAAGTCCAGGTCAATCAACAGGCTCTCGAACCCCCGGTCAACCGACTGGGCAACCTTTTCCCGAAGATGATTTAAATTCTGTCCTTGAGCCTAATATTCAAATCGGAAGTGGACAGAAGAGACCAGAACAATCAAGAACCACTCGTTTCCCACCACCACCTGCAAGGCGCACTCAACCACCTCGACCAACTCCTCGCGTGCCAACTCATTCCCCAAGAGTTCAACCACCTAGACAGCCTGTACAACCTGCGCGACCACAATCTCCTAATGTACCAGAACAACCCGCTTTCGATAATAATCAAGTGCCAGATATTCTCCCAGTAACACAAGCTCCTCAAACAAACAGATGGGATATTCGTCAATCTCAACCACCAAGGCAACCTACGCCTCCTAGAGGTTCATACCTGACACCAACAACCCGATCATTTAATCAAGTCACGCAACCAGCTCGTGGAAGAATCCCTGTCCGCAGCACGGTAGCAAGTTTTGGACCGACAACGCAAGCTCCACTGGTCGTTCCTCAAACGCCCTCCGTAACATCATGGCAGCAACGAAATCAAGGATCATGGACTACTAGACAGCAACCCAGGAGTACAAGACAACCTTCCAGAGTTCCTCCAATGCCACAAAGACCATCACAACCAAGACCTGGAAGTTTTCCAACTCCAATACCTATCGTCACAAATGGACCATTTGAATCTAACCGACAAACACCATCATGTCGTGGACCAGGAGAGCAAATAACTCCTGCTACACAAAATCTTCCAATATGCCCTGAATCTCCTCAAGAAAGTTGCCAAAATCCTCCTTACAATCCGAGAGATTCAAGGCCATTATGCCCCAGTGACTCCGGATGTAGACAGCCAAGTGAACCTTTCAATCCGTCAGATACCAGACCTCTCTGCCCACAACCAATTCCTGGTCAAGGGTGCAGAAATTTTGGAGATCCAACTTACGTTGGTGACCGAAGGCCTGTTTGTTCTCCTCCTAGTCAGATTGGATGCCGTGATCCATCTTCACCTTTCAATCCTTCAGATAGTCGACCTTTATGTGCCACAAGTGGTCCGAATGATATTAATATTTCAAACGATATTTCTCGACAAGACTGTAGACGTTCTGATGAACCATTTAGTCCTCAAGATACAAGACCACAGTGTCCCCAAGAAAATCAACCGGATTGTCGACCTTTTAATGAACGCCCAAAAGCGGGAGATAGGCGACCCTTGTGTAGAACCAACAACCAAGTACCACAACAGAGACCACCAGTTCAACCTAGACCTCCTACACAGCAAAGACCGCCTACTCAGCAGAGACCGCCAGTGCAGCAAAGACCTCCAACGCAACAAAGACCTCCTATTCAGCAAAGACCTCCAGCTCAGCAAAGACCCTCACATGTCACTAAAGGTCAGACTTCAATTCCTGGACGCACGCCACAAACTCAACGGCAACCTGTTTTTCAACCAAATGTACAAAATCCAGCTTCCCAAACAACTAGAAGACCATCGTGGCAGCCTACTCAAGCTCCTCAAGGAGAAGCCCAACCTTCTCGACCTTTCAGTCCGCAAAATGCAGGTAACCTAGCTCCTATTCCAGGTGGTGTTAGACCACCTTCATCACAGCCTCAGCGTCCTGGATCATTTCAACCTGGTTCTCGTATACCTCAACCGCAATCACCCAACACCGGATCTTTGCCATCAGATACAGGAAACGTAGAACCTCAGTCTCCACCTCAAGATATTTCCCAGCCCAATCCACCACAACCTGGTAGCTTCCGACCATCTAATCCCCCTGTTTCTCGACCCTATCCAACCAGACCTCAAGCGATTTCAAGGGTATCGGTTGTGACCCAGCCTCCAAGGTCTGGTTCTCAAGGCTCATACCCAACTAGAATGCCATCTGGAGTATCTCAACCACCTCAATCGCAGGTCTTCCAAATAAATCGGCCAGGTAGTACACCAGGGGTGAGTCAGCCATTCACTCCACAGAGACAACAACCTCAACGTCCACAGATAATACCATCCACTTCTTTACCTGGAAGGGGTACAAGTGCACCGAGGTTACCGGTATCTGTAACAGGAACATCTACTACTTCCGGAGACGATTCTAGACGATCTTTATATGAAATTGTCGAAGACCCTTCACTTCTCATTCAAGGCCAACCAGTGAAATTGACTAAAATACTCTCTCTTTTCCAAAAAGCAGGCATTGAAGATATTCTTACAGGACCAGGTAAAATATATTTTTTTTAATTTTAACTTCTTTAAACTTTTTATCTACTGATAGAGTAAAACTAGCTGTCAACTGGCGATTCTTCAAAGTGGTCATAAAACGACAATTAAATTTTATTTGACTCATATTTATATATATATATATTTTTATTTCATAACCGTCTTTGAACAGTCGACCGAAGTTTTAGTTTACGACTATCAATGTTCAACTCCGTAGCCTTGTAATTTTGAACCCAATCCGGAAGATAAGAGAACTCTTCGATCAAGTAATACCTCGATTTGCTTTCTTGGAGGACTTTTTTGACCGAACTAACCCACATTTGCGTTACATGAGAGGAAAACCTTCCAGGGTTTGCCTGACAGCAAGGGGACTCTAACCGTAATCCGTCAACCACTGAGGATATTTCACGTCAGCACTATGGTCGGTGCGAGCCGGGTGTGCAATTTGTATCGACCCGGAATTCGATTTGAACCCAGTTAACCACATTGGAAGGCTAACGCTCTATCCCCTGAGCAACCACGGCTCACTCACAATTACAGTAATGAGTGAAGCGCCTTTTGTGAAAACTTGGCTAATGTAAATGCTGGCTTAATTTAAAAATGCAACAACCACGTGATTTCAGAATCGATTACAGATTTGGCTCTGAAATTCTGATTCAAACATTTTGGTAGATACATGTCTACTTAAAACAGGGCTGATAGTAGGACAGAAAAGAAAAAAAAGTGGTTGTAAAATTATTTCATTTATAGTTGGCTTTTGTAAGAAGTAAAATTGATTTTATTCTTCTCAAGAACAAGCTGTAATGAAATGCTTTTCTCACCATTTTTTGCTCGTTTCCATCTTGTTACATATATACATAAATTTTTAGCCTGACCCAAGATTGATGTCAACAGTGAAGTAATTGACTTACGAGTTGTTAGTTGTTATCTGTTTGAAGAAAACAGAGATGCCACAGTAGACTAAAATTGTAAGAAGTGGTAGCAACTCTTTTTATTTTTATTCATTTATTTAATCTGTTTAATTATTCAATCGTAACTACCACCACGAATTACATTGAAAGTTATTTATTTTTAAATCGAAATTATTCTCTACATTTAATTTCAATAGCAAACTGAAAGAAATATTTACTAGCTTTAGCACCTTTTAGTAGATTTTTGCCTTTTATTAGTCACCACTTTTTAGAATTTTAGTCGCCTGTGGAATCCTTGAAAGAAGCAAATTCTAAAACTTGAACATTGTGGTCTAATATGCGGACAGTTCAATCCTGCCAATTTTTACGCTTTTAGAAAAAAGATTCTTCCTAGTGGTAAAGAAATACCAACTCAATTGAGATTGTAAACTGTAATTTCATCAAAACTTAGCTGACACTTTCTGTGAGCCAGTATGCCTACCGTATGCATATTTAAATTATTTAAATATAATGGTAATCCAAATAATTTTAAACCACGTTTATTCAAATAAGAATAAAGTGTATATAGATAAACTTTTGCTGCTATATTAAATATAAAAAGATATTCTTCCTAAATATCCAGAAGAGTTACCTGATATGACATTTGTTTAATTTTACTAGTGATAAAACTATTACAGTTTTTAATTTAATTCATAGCAACCGAGATCTTGATTTTTAAGGGACATTTTATCTTTAAAGTGGCAACAAAATTTGAATCTTAGTCGTTTTATCTTGATTTAATAAAGTCGATTTATGATGATTTTGATCGCCAGAATCTTTACCAGATAGTGTAAATATTTGCAGCTATGCCCTAGTGTCTCAATTTTACCCTATCCCATTAATCGTGAAACTTAAGGACTATTTTAGTTGAAAATTGAGGTAAGCAGGCAGTGGTGTTGCTTTTGCGAATGCTTCTAGCACTTTGCTTGAATAACTATAGAGGAATCAAAAATAAAATGAGCAACTTGCTCTAAACTATGTTTGTTTGAAGATGGAGTTGTTCAGAGTTGTATCAACACGAAGAAACGTTATTTTCAGAAGTGTTGATATAGTTATTTGTTTTGATAGTTATGATATGAGGCGTAAGAGGTGAAATGTGCAATTATTATATTTGCTGCAATTTTCAAATTGAAAGATTTCATTATATTTCGCTGTTACACATTCTATGGCCTTATCGAAAAAAATCTACGTTCAGTTTGTATATATGCTGTGATAGGCTATGCTAACTCTCTACACAAGTCTACAAATTATCCACGGCGCTACCGATTCCACGACGCTGGCTGTCTCTGCACGCAATCTCGCCAGTCATCGAAATTTCACTGTGTTTCACTGAATTATATAGACGCAATTTCTAATTCCAATTTCAATAATAATATATTTTTAACGGGATGATTTTGTGTATGCATTAAATATTGTTTATTCCACTCAGGGCCTACCACTGTGTTCCTCCCGTCAGATGATGCATTCGCATCTTTGCCTCAGGGAGTCGTGGACCAACTGGAAGAGAACCCCGAACTTCTGAGGCAGGTACTCCTGTATCACGTGACTACCGTTGAGATCTTGCCCAGTGCCGAGAGTGACAGCTACACTGTTCCGACAATGGAAGGAACGCCACTGGTCATAACAATGCTCAGGGGTGGAAGAGTAAGAAACCATTCGAATGTTATGATTGCTTTTTCATTCTTCTTAATCTGTTCGGCAATATTTTGTCACCTCTGTTCCGGAGTAGGCTCCCGATCTTTGACATTTCACGTTCGAACTCTCAGTAGAATCATTTATCTGAAGACTTACATTTTGAATGAGATGTTCGAAGTAGGTTTTGTTTTCATTTCCGATGGAGATAAGTTGAGTTGCACAATAGCTTCATCGAGATTTGTTGAAGTGGAAAGTCATAAAATTTTCATTGTAATCATTTCATTTTTAAACATGTTTCATAATCGATGTGTTCTTGTTCTTGAGGATCACAAAAAATGACGCTCACAATGGCATGCACAATATTTTATTATAGTTAATGTAACGTTGTATTGTATTTAACAATTCTGGTATGTTTCTGTCTCGTTTTGGCTCGTTGCGGCTTTTTTTTTCTTAACCGAAACATTTTAGGTTGCATTTATAAATCGTATTTAGCTATTGGATTTGTAAAATTTCGGATAACATGTTTAACTTGCTACTCTAATAGAACATAAAAATTTTAATACAGTATTAGCACACACAATGCATCAAAAATCTCGAAATACTTATAAATTGAATATTTCCTCTTTATTCATTTAACTTCAATGAAATCATTTTTCTAAATGTATTGCAACATTTTTCGATTTACTATTGTTCTCTGAATCAGCCGTCACAGAACACTTAGTTTCTGACTGAATTTCTTTTATTTTGTAATAAATATTTTAAGTATTCAGTAAATTTTAGAAAATGTAAACGAAATTCTTGAAAAAAAATTGTGTATTACCAGTAAAGTTTATATTTTCAATGATATAATCTTCTTGTTCAGTATTTAAAATCTCTTATAAATTTACCTCTTCTTTGACCAGAATTATAATATAATTCTATGTATATTTTCAAGATTAAATTTGATAAAAACTTAAAATGTCTGTTACAAAATTAAAGAAATTACGCTAAAGACATTAAAAATAAATTGCGTTAATTACAAAAAATATTTCTGTTGCCAATTTATGTGTTTTAACTTTAAAAAAAATAATAATCATCTATCAAATTGTCTTTTCGCTTTTAAAAGTTCAAATTTTATAAAATAATTCATCTATATTAAAAAAATATCAATTTATGTATTAAATAATTGACTTATAATTATTAATCTATTATTGTTGGTCTCTTGACTAAATAATTATTAATTATTTGAGATCTTGGAATGTAGATAAAATGGCTCCACTGATATTTGAACCCCGATTTCTCAATTAGAATGTGGACTTAATCGTTGAGCCACGAATTCCCGGGAGCTAAAAAGTTTCATTATTTTATAAATAAATGAACTAAAACTTTAAAGGAGAAAACTTTTTTTATTTTATCTCAGAGGCAGCAATAGCGACAAATTTCCACCCTATGCAAGGTATTTACAACTACGCTCTTTAAGTTTAATTTCGTTTTAATGCAGATTTCATAATTGCACTCTATCCTCGTTAGTTAAAAAATCTTGCCAACTCGACAAATTTTTTAAAGTGCTAAATATAAGGGGAAATAAAATATTATTCAACTAGACTGCATTTTATATCAAAATAAAACGAGGAATCAACGTAAAAATGCAAATTCATGTTAGCCAATATGCGTAGTAATAAGAAAAAAGAACATTAAGATGCCTTATTTTGATGCTGCTGTGCGAATTGCATACCTGCCAACTTTTACGCATTTGGCGCAAAATTTTATTTCTATATTTAAAGTGGTAGTAAAATTTATGCTTTCTCTACATTCCTTGCACTTGTAAACTTAATTTAGAAACTTTTTTGACCACCATTATTTTTTAAAAAAAATTAAGCATATGTATTAATATGTATTGTTGACGTGGCTCTCCGTTTAAGCTTTTTCAAAATACAGCGTATGTTACTGCTTAAAATTGAAATTAAAATTCCAATATACTACCACTGGGAAAAAACATCCTCGAAAGGATTAAAAGTTAACAGGTATGGAATTGCCATAAAAGAAACATTGCTGATCCTGGTAATAATCTAACTGGCGATTCAAAGTACAGTCTAACCGGGAATCTTTGAGCTAAAATAATGTTTCAAAAAATAATGCCAACATTTGCGAGTTAAGGGCATCGCCTATACCGCTATTTATTATTTTATGCTTTGGGTTCACTTCACCGCATTATAATGTAAATGTATTTATTCACGTCAAAATTTCATGATTTTTTTAAGCATTATTTCTGGCAACTAAAAATTTCATTTCAGCTGATAATAATCAGTGGTGCTAAAGCTATAGCCGTCACCAGGGCTAATAATGGAATATTCTACGTCATCAACCAACTCCTCTATCCACTGCCCCACCCGGACATTGTTGGAGCTGTCCAGTCACGTCCTGATCTCTCCATCTTGTCGTGGTTCCTTTCTCAGAGTGGTCTTAACGATCTCCTAACAGGTGACCTTTCTTTTTTTTTTTTATTCTACAGCCATAATGTAAAGATGATATTTTACTTTTTGAAATTGTATGTTTCACATTGCATTATTTTGGTTTTGCAATTTCTATCGCAAAACTTATTTTTATTTGTCAGCCATGAAGACATCCGTAGGGTATCTGATGTATTTGTTCATCATTTTCCATGGCTTGTAATTTCAAAATCAATTTCGAAAAACCCACAAATTCAAAATCCAATATCGAAACAGACTTATATGAATTAAATTTTATACAATATCATTGATTATCTGTTGATTAGTGCGAAAAATAGAAGGAAAAACAAAACTAGAGTTTCTACTGAAAAAAAAGTTATCTTAAGATCTTATTCGAGTCTGTGATGCCCTTTTAAGGTTATGGTCTACCTCTTTATAGATTTATCAGCATCTTCAATTTCAAATTACTTCTTATTCAAACGCTAAATAGTAAAATAAAAATAAAAATAATAATCACCTATCGAATTATTTTTTTGTTTTTATTTGTTTATATTTTATAAAAGAATTAATTTAAATTAAAAAAATATTAATTTATGCACTAAATAATTATTAACCTTTTATTATTAGTCTATTGACTTAATAGTCATTAATCTATTATTATTAGTCTATTGGCTAAATAGTTATTAATCATTTCAGATCAGAAATTTAGGAATTTTGAATAACATGTTTCCACTGAGATTTGAATCCCCGATTTCTCAATTACAATGTGGATAGCTTACCTAACCATTGAGCCACGAATTCAGGGGAACTAAAAAAATTTCATTATTTTATAAGTAAATGAACTAAAACTTTAAGGGAGAACATTTTATCTCAGGGGCAGCAGTAGCATCTATGCTTACTATCTCAGTAGCATCTATGCAGTAGTATCTATGATTAAGCAATGACTGTAAGCAATGACAATAAGCAATTACTATGACTAGGCAATGCTTTCTATCCTATTCAGCATTTTGGTTGAAAATTTCTCTGAAGATGGTAAATTTGATAGTTCTAGAAAAAAATGCATTTAAGATATCAACTATTGATATGACTCCTCAATAAAACTAATTTCTAAATAGAGGGCACTAAATTCTACAGTTTGCGATAATTTTTTTAAACATTGCAAATAACAAACTAAATTTCAATTTTAAAAAAAATATTCATTTTTTTTAAAAATTAATTTAAAATTGCTCTACTTTGAAAATTAAAGAAAAATCTATATAAGGGTGAGTGAATTCGGTAACTAAGAGCATGAGTAATAATTCATTATGGATAATATTGATAATGTAAAAAATCTTCAATAAGTAATTTATTTAACAAAAAATATTCATACCTATGTAGACGTTTTTGAAATAAAGGATTTCTAAAGAAAAATTATTAATAATAACTAAATTTTGTTTTAATACAGGTGACACACCACACACTCTCTTAGCTCCAACGGATAATGCCTTTGCACAGTTGCCGAATGCAGTATACGAAGAATTGACTCAGAACATGACAGCTTTACAAGGTAATTATTTATTTGTTATGGAAAAATTACCCGGAACTAGATAAGAAAATATTCATTAAATAGTATGCAACAGAATTGACTTTTTAAAAGCAGTTACCTTAATACTTAAAAGAAAGAAAAAACTCATGTAGGTAATTCAGGTAATAGAGAATGCGACACATTTATTAAATATTTTTTAGTTGCGACTGAATAAGTAATTAAGTGCAACTCAAATAATGTTATTAGTTACGACGTTAACACCATTTATACAACCATTAGCCATTACCATTAGCGGCCTAGTTTGTACACTGCAAAAAAATTTAGTTCGTTTTAACACCAAAAATGGTGGCAACTGCTTTACACCAAAAATGGTGGCAACTGCATTACACCAAAAATGGTGGCAATTACTTTACACCAAAAATTAGTGGCAAATACGTTACACCAAAATTAGTGGCAACTACCATGCACCAAAATTGGTGGCAACTACTTAACATCAAAATTGGTGACAACTGCTTCACACCAAAAATAGTGGCAACTACTTAATACCAAAAATGGTGGCAACTACTTAACACCAAAAATAGAGGCAATTACTTTACACCAAAAATGGTGGCAGCTACATAACACCAAAAATGGTGGCAGCTACTTTACACAAACAATAAGTGGCAACTACATTACATCAAAATTGGTGGCAACTACCATACACCAAAATTGTTGGCAAATACGTAACACCAAAGATGGTGACAACTACTTAACGTCAAAATTGGTGGCAACTGCTTCACACTAAAAATAGTGGCAACTACTTAACACCAAAAATGGTGGCAACTACTTTACACCAAAAATGATGTAGTGAAACACCAAGAATGTTTCCTTGTACTTAAAGGTGGACATAGGATTTACGGCCCCAGTAGAAATTTGTTACAGGCACCTCAAAACGTAGAAAGTCTGATTTTAATACACTTTGTAAACTTTTTCAAAAAGACTTTTCAATACAATGGTTTATCTTAGATTCTTTAATTATCAATTTTCATAAAGATGCTAAAATCTTAATTTCCAATTTTTGTAAGCTTATTTAAATTAGAAAAATAAATATTTTCTGGTTTTATTTTTTTATTTGCATGTACTAAATGTGGGAAGAATTCTATTACTAAAATTGCAACATATTGCATCATAAATATAATAAAATTATAAATTACAAATATAAAGTATGTCGTTTTGCAAATTAAAAGATAATAATTAAGAACCCCTACACTTCTGGTAAAGCATCAATAATCCCGGCCCCGAGGCAATTGTACTTCTTTGTTTACCCACCCTCTTGAGTTCGGCTTTTATTATACTTCTTTTGATGTTAAGTAGTTGCCCTTATTTCGATGTTTAATAACACTAAAAATTGTCATGACAATAAGAAATAATACACATAAAAGTCAGTAAAATAATTTCAACCATACAATTTACAAAAGAACAATTAAATACTAATGCATACACTTAACAATTCTTAACATAAAAAGAGTTTGTTAATCAAACCTGCTCAGACAGAACATGAAAACAAATTTGGATTGGGTTTAATAGAACAGAAATTAAATATCATGAAGTTATTTAATATGATTGACATAATTATGTTAATTATCTTATGAGGGAGCACTTATCTTTGTTTCAGAACTAAAAACAAACATGACTTCTGTAACAGTGGTCTTCTGTTTGTGTGGATTTTAGCAGCGTGAATGATGAATTGATAAGTGTTTCTGTGTGGGCTTCTGAACATGGCATGATATGGAAGCGTCCCTACACTCATGCAACGAGATTTTCGGGCATGGGTTCCTATGCAATTTTAATTCTGATTACGTGCCCTAACTCCTCCAGATGTTTGTTGCAACATTTATGCGACCCACAGTTGAATATAACATTTTTAAACTTGCACATTTCGACAAAAAATAGATTAAAAATAATCTGTAATTTTATGCTGTAAACTATTTCAGATTTGAAATACTTACACCTATAGTGGGCGTATCAAGTTTCTGTATTAATGCATCAAAACATTTGTTCCCCTGTGTAATTTTTAGCTTTAAATTTCGCAAACTTTTTTTTAAAGAAAAATCTTTGTTGATGTATTTGTTCATCATTTTCCATNTAAACTTTTTCAAAAAGACTTTTCAATACAATGGTTTATCTTAGATTCTTTAATTATCAATTTTCATAAAGATGCTAAAATCTTAATTTCCAATTTTTGTAAGCTTATTTAAATTAGAAAAATAAATATTTTCTGATTTTATTTTTTTATTTGCATGTACTAAATGTGGGAAGAATTCTATTACTAAAATTGTTACATATTGCATTATAAATATAATAGAATTATAATTTACAAATATAAAATATGTCGTTTTGCAAATTGAGAGATAATAATTAAGAAATTCTACTCTTCTTGTAAGCATCAATAATCCCGGCCCCGAGGCAATTGTGCTTCTATGTTTACCCGCCCTCTTGAGTACGGCTTTTATTATACTTCTTTTGATGTTAAGTAGTTGCCCTTATTTCGATGTTCAGTAACACTAAAAATTGTCATGACAATAAGAAATAATACACATAAAAGTCAGTAAAGTAATTTCAACCGTACAATTTACAAAAGAACAATTAAATACGAATGCATACACTTAACAATTCTTGACATAAAAAGAGTTTGTTAATCAAACCTGCTCAGACAGAACACGAAAACAAATTTGGATTGGGTTTAATAGAACAGAAATTAAATATCATGAAGTTATTTAACATGATTGACATAATTATGTTAATTATCTTATGAGAGGGCACTTATCTTTGTTTCAGAACTAAAAACAAACATGACTTTTGTAACAGTGATCTTCTGTTTGTGTGGATTTTAGCAGCTTGAATGATGAATTTAAAAGTGTTTTTCCGTGGGTTTCTGAACATGGCGTAAATATGGAAGCTCCCCTACCCGCATACAACGAGATTTTCGGGCATGAGTTCCGATGCAATTTTAATCCTGATTATGTGCCCTATCTCCCCTAGATGTTTCTTGCACCATTTATGCGACCAACAATTAAATATAACGCTTTTAAACTTGTACATTTCGACAAAAAATAGATTAAAAATAATCTGTAACTTTATGATCTAAAATAATTTCAGATTTTAGATCATAAAGTTACACCCATAGTGGGCGTATCAAGTTTTTGTATAAATGCAGCAAAACTTTTGTTCCCCAGTGTAATTTTTAGCGTTAAATTTCGCTAAATATTTTTTAAAGAAAAATCTTTGTTTCGTTCGGAAATTATCGTAGTTTTAAGTGCTTTTAAAAACAATTTGACAGGTTCAATTTTAAATTTTTTTCGTTTGCTTACTTTATTTGTTGTTTTTTTTTACGTACTTATCTTTCGAATTATCTTCATCAACTAGGTATCAAATAATATCAGTAGGAGCTTTTCTCCCCCTTTTTTTTCGTTTATGTCCTGGAAACGAGAAAAAAATTGCTAATAAAATTATTTTATTTCTAGATCTGAATTTTAAATCTTTTAAAAAGTAAACTTTTACTATTTTTAATAATAAATTACTCAAAAACTTTTTTTTTAGATAAGAAATAGTCCTGTATAACTGTTAACTATTTGAAAGTGTTTACAGTCATATTTTGGTTGGAACATTTTTCTTTTTTCGAAAACGAGGCAGATATAAACTGGTTTTATTTCCAGTTTCCGGAACTGAAACATCACTGAACAACATCTTAATTCGTGTTTATTTTTTAGGAGTCGAAACAATCAAATATAAGAAAAAGCTTGCATAAGAAAAAAATTATAAAAATGACGCTTTTTTTAGACTGGATGATGACCTTTCAGCTGAGAAATATAACACTCTACTACTGCATGGGGTTCGGGGAACTTCCTTTGCTGTCGCTATTATATCATGTCTAATGTTTCCTTCCTTCTTTTTTAGAGATCTTGATGAACCATGTAATTGATGGTGCACACTATGGTCGCGAATTCTTCACTGGACCCACATTCGCAAGTGCCAGAGGAGGGAAATTAAAATTTCAAGTCGTTAGCTGTGAGTTTTTCTTTTATATTCAAATATTAGCAAGCCATTCCCAGAAGACGCTGATTCTATGCAATAATTTTTAAAACTGTAAAATATTCTTAAAAGGAAAGAAAAATTGGAAAGGAATGTGCAGAGTTACCACGGGGGACTAAAAATGCTGACTTATAAAATTCAAAATTTTTTTTTAAAAAATTTAAATTGGCAACTCTTTTACTTTACTGAAATGACACACATTTGCTGACTTATAAACCTTTGTCAAGTAGAAGGACGGATAGAACAATTCAGAGAAAGACATCACAAATAATACATCCAGGGCTACGACGGGATTCGAACCCGCTACCTCCACGATTTTCACAGCGTTTGACGGGCGATACCGATCGGCCAAGGAAACCCCGCAAGTTTTTTTATTTATTGCTTATTGAATTTTCAGGCTTGTGAGCTCAAGTTAAGCTTATAAGCCTTTGTCAAATAGAAGGTAAGACAGCACGAAGATACATCCAGGGTAAAGGCGGGATTCGAACCCGCTATCTCCACACTTTGCACAACGTTTGGCAAGCGATACCGCTCGGTCAAGGAGACCCCGCAAGTTTTTAACAGTTTTGCTTTGAATATTAATAATTTGAAATGTAAGTCATAGCGCTAGTGATGTTTAAATAATTAAAAATGTAATTTAAAAAATTGAATTTCTACCCCGTTTCTCATTTTTAGTCGCCGATGGCGTCCCTGAATTAGTGATTAAGTTGATTATTTCAAATGCGACTATCAGAGCCTCGGTGGCTCAGGAGATATAGCGTTCGCTTCCTAGGTTCGAATCCCAGAGATAGCTGGTTGACACAAACTTTGCTCCGACCACATTGCTAAAGTAAAATAACCTTAGGGGTAGACGGGTCATCGACTAGAATATCCGTCAGAAAATTTCGTGGTTTACCTTATCATGTAACGCAAATACGGCTCAGTTTCATCAAAAAGTTCGCTAAGAAGGCTAGTTTGTCCCAATGTTTGATCCAGGAGTTCTCTTGTCTTCTGATTTGGGTTCAAAATTGCATGACTTCGGAGTTGAACATTGATAGTCGTAAACTCAGAATTGGGTCGGCTGTTCAACGCCGGTTGTAAAATACAAAATAAAATAAAATGCGACTATTAGTTTAGATCTGAAAATTATTTAAAATGCACAATTTCAAATCAAAATGTAGCTGCTTATATTTTTAATAAAGAGTCTCGGTGCTGCCATCTAGTGTGGCAGAAACTAGACGTTCAAATTAACATGACCAACGGTATCTCACCCATTGTGGTGGTCCTGAAAGAGTGGATACCACCTCTGGAGAACGCACTAGATCTGCTCATCGACAACACCGATTGTGCAGCTCATTGGAAATTTAAAAAAATAAAAATATTTTTAATAAATTTCGTTAATCACGAAGATTTTAGTTTCACCGAAATAAATTAAAAAACAAACGAAATAATTAAGTTAAAAAAATTTTCTTCTAAAAGAACTACACGAGAGGAAACGAGAATTTTGGTGATTTAGGTGTAAAGCAGAGTTTGTACGATTCGAAACAATTGTTATTTAATCGTAAAATAGAGTACTTAAAAAGATATAAGAGTGATAGCAAAATTAAAAAAAAAAAAAATTAATTTCAAAAAGTTTATGCTTACCACTATGCTTAATGTTTTCAAATAAATATATTTCGACAAAAAATCTTTCAATCATAAATTGAAAGTTAATAAAATAGAACTTGCAATTTCTTTATTAAAATATTTAAGCTTATTTTTAATTTTTCTGAAGACCGTTGATACCCTGAAGTAATCTCATTTATGTCTAAACGTTCTTATAAAAGGACGATACATTTTTTGTTCTGAAAATAAAAGAAAAATGGTACCACTAGTTTTATTTTATTCGGCTATGGAACCCTAAATGATCGACTTGATTTTGGCAGAATCCCCTAGATTTAATGAATAAATTTTATCCTCAAATATAAACAAATTAATCAACGAAAGAAAATCAATTTTTCATAAAATATTTAGTGTTTGAAATTTTATTTATTTTTTTAAAATAATTAATGAATGAATAAGGAATGAAATTTTTTCATCGCATCGTTTAACCCTTTCATGGGCCATTTATTTTCAGTAAAGGTAAAGTATTTTTGGAATTGAAATTGATATAAGAATAGTAATTGTTTTAAAAAAATAAACTCATTTAGCTTATAAAATATTTATCTAAATTTTAATGACATTTTTTTTTTGGTGGAAAGTATATTTACCACGACCTATTAGGAACTTATTGACTTTTACTTTTCATTATTTATAAAATCAATGTGATTTTCTTTGAAATAATAACGAACAAGAGCGAAAATAAACGTTGAAAACGTTTATAAGAGAAACTCTGTTCTTTATTGTTGAATTTAGTAATTTTTTATCGAAGCGAAATACTAAGGAAATTTTTCATGAATTAGAGAGTTTGATTGCCAGTAGGAGTGACAGGAACCTAGATCGGCCTAGTTTGGAAAGCTCTGGCCCACCCTGAGCTATCGTACTATAGTTGATGATGATATCCTTTTTATCATTCATTTAATAATTTGTTTTTATGATTCTTTTATAAGAATTTTTAAATAATTTTAGAAAAATAATGAATAATTTATTGGATAAAAATTTAACTGCAGGTTTCGAAAATCATAACTGGTTAAAAAAAAGTCCTAATTCTCAGAACCTCATGTGATACTTCCTAGGGTTCTCCAGAACCCCTTTCGGAAACCACTGCACTAGTCTTTCGTTATTAAGATTTAATTTACCGAAACAAGATAGTTCCATTTATCGTAATAGATTATGGATCTAAAATCAATGCACGGTGGTCCTTTCAAGTTAAAGTGGTAGGTTACAAAAAATATCGCTCATGGGCTACAATACCGGCACAACTCAAAGCAAGCTTTGAGATAAGAGGGTTTAAAGTTTTCAATGCTATGCAAAATGCATAAGAAATGCTTTAGTTTGCTTGAACGAAGATTACCTTCAAGTTGAAATATGAGTTGTGCTAGTATTACTGCTGAAAGAATGTGTATTTTCATATTTACACCTGTTCTTAGTCCGAAACGCGTTTTTTTTTTAAGTTGTGCTACTATTGCAGCCCATGAGCGATATATCCACTTGAACAACAAAAAAAATTGCTTTCAGTGTTCACTTTACTCCGACTTCAAATCCAGAAACAAATATGTATGTTATAAGTCAGGGGTCTGCTTAGAAGAAATTTGGGTCCGTTAACGGAGGCTTCATAAAATATCTTTTCATAAAAACGGACCCTTCACAAAATATTTTAACTTAAAAACGGACCCTACACAAAATGATTTTTCTTCTAATCGGACACTTCACAAATTTGTTCATCTTCATTATTGTTTTGTTAATCGAATAAACCCTGGAAACTCAGGAAGAAAGACAGATGTAAACAAACTAAATTTTGTCTTCCGCAGACGCGTCTTCCTTTATTCGTCCGAAAAGAATATTCTGCGTTCAGTAATATAGGCTAAATACCAAATATTTATATGTTGAATCGCTAATTTAGTAGCTGCAATTGCTCTTTATTTTTTTAAATTTATTTCTTTTAGTTATAATTTTACAGTGTTGTGCATAATCTTGTACGCCTTTACAATTTAAAAACTCCTTGAAAAAGTTTTTTTTGCAATAACAGACCCTATTTGCACAAATTCACAAAAGCAGGACCCTGGTTGAAAGAATGTGACTTAACGTTTATTTTATATTCACAAATTACAAGTAATTTTTTTCCAATTTTACAAATACGGACCTTTTACAGAATGTCTGGACAGATCCCTGACAGNGAAGCGGGGGTGCCATCCCCTCCGCAGAGGATCAAAATTGTGATGGCATGTCTTCGGATCATCCTCCGGGATGTTTCCCAGACCGTCGCCAATAGCCCATTGTGCAGCTCCAGTGCGACGTAAATTAACAACAACAACAACAACAACAATTTCTTCAAAATAAATCCAAATTCCAAATTCTTTCTTTTTTTGAAAGAAAAAAAACGACCACCATCCTTTCCGTCAATCTCTCCATCAATCCTATCTGTCAATCTTCTGTCAATCTCCTAAGCTCAAATGGATTTAAGTTTTTCCTGACTATATATTTATTAAATCGCCATTGAGAAACGTGAAGGATTTACAAATTGACCCGTCTAAATTATAATTCTTTTTCCAAATTTGGATCAAAGAATAAAGAGTAATTTATTTGTGATATATGTTATTCAATGTTTCAGATGGTTACCAGGTGAATGAAGTGAATGTGAAAACTCCAGAAATAGTGACGGGATCTGGCGTCGTCCACTTAATAGATCAAGTCTTGATTAATGATGCAGATTTGAAATTCCTCAACACGCAAGAGAATTCTATCACAGGTGCGTAAGAAACTGTCTATTGTGCAATATTTACGCCTTCTTTTAATTTTGGTGCGCTTTCGTCAGAGGAAATGAAAAGTCACTGTTTCATAAGGCTTTAAGCTCGAAGCAAAGCTATAGGTCTTAATTATAAATGCCCCACTTTGGACTGATCGTAAGACTTAGTAGATCACCAAAGTCAAGCATCACTGGTTGAGATCAGTGAGCGGGTAGATGACCACTTCAATGTTCGTTAAACTGTTTTACCGTAAATTACTTGACCTCACACGCAGGTCGTCAGGCTACCAAAGTGGGGGAAGCCATCTTCTCTGCAGCGGATCAAAATTATGATGGCACGTCTTCGGATGATCCTGAGAGATGTTTTCCAAATCGTTGCCAATAGCCCATTGTGTAACTCTAGTGCGATGTAAATAAACTATTGCTACTACTTAAATTATAAGTAGTAATTTTTCCCAAAAAAAGATTGTTTGGCCTCAAAACATTTAAATAGCTTAAAAAAATTTCAATTATAACTTTTTTTTTAATAATTGATTATTTGGTGAAATTTAAGCCCATTTAAATCATTAATAATTCTAAATTTTTGCTTATTTTTGTATACTTAAGCAATTCAATGGTAGAGTGTTATGTTAATGTTAGCGTAACGGGACCATTTTTCCTGTATGCGACTCACACACCTTAGATCACCGTCTTGAGTGAATCAGTACCTGATTGGTGAAATATATTTTCTCACTCAAAATTCACCAATCATGTTTTACTTCCCTCCCGAAAGCGAACGAAGGTGCTTAAATCGCATGCAATGAAAATGATCCCTGAAGTTTTTCTTGCTATTGACATTTTACGTGTTTTGTTCTTATAAAGACTTTTATCAATGACATTTCATATACTTTCGAGGTTACTACGTCTTCTGAATTATCTATTCATGCACAGTTACTTAACATCATTCGCAGTCACTTCAGATCATTCCTGCATTTAACTTGAAAGAGTGTTGAATATTACTGATGAAAGTCTATATTGTAAAAGAGATCCTTGGTGGTTTTTTAGCCAAAAAAAAGTCCATATATCTTTGGAGAGCTGAATGCTGAGACAACAGCTCCCCTACCTGTATTATACCAATGCAACACACGATCGAGCCAATATTTTCTACGGATTTACCACGTGCCATTACCAATATCCTATCCCATTAGCGTTTTTCTAGTGCAACATTGGCAACCTTTATCAATCATTTATCTGTCATTTATTTTTTCGTATTTCAAAGTAAAATTAATTTCATTTGAAACTCTCCAAAGGGGGAGATAGTGTTTCCACCACTGGTCAGCAACTTCCAAGAAGCGACATTCAACCAAATATTGGACAACTAGTTCCAAATCCTCAGACACCTGGAAATCAACACGTATTTGACATCCAGCGAATTCCTCAAAGCCAGCCCCAAGTGACAGGACTAATGCAACCACCTGCTCGACAACAAACAAATCCAAGGATACCAACCGGGCAAGTGTCTCCGACTGGCCAGCAACGCAATCGCGGTCAAACTCAAGGCACGGGACAAAGACTACCAGGTCCATCTCAAGCATCACGCAGCCCGAACCATGGTGGACAAAGACAATCTTCGGTTCAAGCTCAGTCTCTGTCAAGTGGATCTGCCTCTAACGTTGCTGATCTCGCAAGATCTATGGGATTGAATAGATTTGCTAATTGGATTACAAACACCGGCCTTCTTGAAAAAATCCATGATGGAGGTAATATTCATTAACCCTCTTTCTATGCGTTCTAAGATTCCAACTTTTTGCACTTTTGTCAGAAGAATTTTGAAAATATTTAAAGTAGTAGTAGAGTTTAAACTTTAACACTTAATTTTTAGTTTTATGAAATTCGATTTTAACAAATTTCTACTCTCACAACCATGGAGCTGTAATGTAAATAAAGCAAGACCGTTGTTATATTTCCCTATCTCTCTTTGTCCCTAACATTAAAGTTTCCTCAGTCACGTGCTCTCTCTGATCAGCGATTTTTGCTGAAAAAGCAGGGCGTCGTATGATAGTTGAGACGAGTTCTCCTTTCTGGTAGATTCGTGCCTAGTACTTACACCGAAGAGTTTATTATATTATGATTATATTATGACCACTCTCCATCTATAACAATGGGCTCATCCAGGTTTTAATGGTTTCTCGCCCAGGAACAATGTTTTCATGGGGCACATTAGGACCCACAATCCTCATAGAACAATCCCTGACGTCTGTAAGCTACTTGAACATAGTTGCAGACAAGATTCACCCATTCATGGCAACAATTTTTCCTGCTGGGGAAGGTGTTTAACAACAGGATAATGCACCATGTCATAAGGGTCGAATCGTCATGGATTGGTTCGAGGAACATTCCAGTGACTTTCAAGTCATGTCTTGGCCCCCAAATTCACCTGACCTTAATCCAATAGAGCATTTGTGATCTTACTTGGAAAACCGAATTCGTGCTGCCACGCTACCCCTTCGCAATGTGAGGGAATTGCAGGACCAGTTGGTGAGCGCTTGGTACCAGATAACTTAGACTACCTATCAGCACCTTGTGGAATCAGTGCCACGGTGGGTGCTAGCAGTTTTGAGGGCTAAAGGTGGTCCTACGTGTCATTAGCAGGATGGTCATAATGTAATGGCTCTTCGGTGTATATGAGCAATGAAATAAAGTTGAAAGCTTCAGGAACGTTAAGATCAGAGAAACAGTAAAATATTGGATCATTTTCGGTAAGACTTTGCTCAATGTAACTATAATTTTAGAATTCCAATATTTTAATGCATATAAGCAGTACAAAATCGTTCACATTTTTTGCAAAATTTAATAAAATTTTAATTTTTGAATGGTTTCAAAAACGGTAAAAATGTATCTTTTGATAAAACTTCAAAAACTTGGATAAATAACTTAACCGAAACTTCGATAAACAGTTTTTGCTATTGCACTTCCGATAACTTTGAGTTTAATCTGTTAACCGTTGAATAGCTTTTTTTATTAACTGACTAACTTACAGGATAAATTTTTCATACAATTCTATTGGTAAACATGAATCTCCATTTGCACTCGGTAAAAGTTGAAATATTTTTCTTCTTTTTATGAAGGTCTTGGAGCATATACTATTATACCATTATACTATTCCGAAATTTCACAAATACACGATATATATATTATATATATATATATTAATCTGTTATTAATTTGTTTTCAGGTGTATACACTGTGTTTGCCCCAACAGACGACGCCGTCAATGCGCTTCCACAAGACATGTCGAATTCCATAGACTCGAGTCCAGAGCAGACAAAATCCCTTCTGCAATACCACATCATACCTCAGAGGGTCAATCTGAATTCTTTGAGAAATGAAGAAACCTCGTCCACCTTGCTTCAGGGGCAGAAGATTCGCTTCAATGTCTATCAGGGAGCTCACATCAACTGCAAACAAGTATGAAACTCTTCTATGTGAACTCAGGTTCAATGATATAGTTTAAGTAGTTTAAATAGGGGGAAAAGGAAAAACCTTGACTAATTTTTGATCCAGCGACCGGACGTTTACCTATTTGGGGTGATCAGATCTTCGGGGATTCAGTCTAGATTTCAAGCACTAAAAAATTAAGACGCCTGTTTCAAATATAGGATTATTAATTCAAATAAAAACAGTAAATTATTTATATTCTATTTAACTGTAACTTTAGTTGTTTTTCATGAATTGACCAGAGTAGTCGAAAAGACTCACAATCATAAAAGTATTTAAATCAATCTACTTTAGAGTGTAAAAACAAGAGAAATTATTTACCATAGTAAAAGTATATTTTTTAAGTATTGGCCATTTATTATTGAAAAACAATAATCGAAAAATCACCGAAGAAAAAGTATAAATGTTCATCAATGTCCCGGAATACCATAGCGTACCAGAATGCTTTGGAAATTTAAACAAACTTCCCTTTTCAGGTAACTTTTTTTCACTAATGTTTTTATTTGTTTTAAGTTAGGACAATTAGAGCTAATATGAAACAAACATCTCAACTTTTACTATTATTTTGATGATTTATATTAATTTTCGCTTTCGTGTCCGTAAGAGTTTTAGAAAGTAAACTACAAACAGTAAACAAAAGAAAGTTAAACAAAAAAAAATTCCGCTATTTGTAGAAATTCCGCCTCACATTTGAAAAGAATGCACCATTTATGACTATCATGTCACCATATTTTTCTTCTTGGCAACTTACTATTAAAATCAATATTCACTGTTAGTAATGATGTCAAAAAGTATTACACTTTTCATTTCATTTTCTTCCAGAAAATTCTAGTAAAAGTTTGGAAACTTGTTGTTCTAAAATCCTTATCGTAGACATTTTTGCCTTTTAATAAAAGTGCGTAATTCAGCCAATCACTTAATACAATTTACAATTTGTAGACTAAAGCAGTCTACTCTAAATAAATACTTTAAATCAAAATAATTACTCAAAATAAAAGAAATAAATGCATTTTTCCCCCTTTTTTAATCTTTTTATTGTGATTTTAACATTAAATATGTATATTTGCTTATAATGATAAATTATTAATTTGTATAGAGTCTTTAACACTAATTATGAAAATTTCGCTTAGGTCTTACACTGATAAGTGTTTTCAAAAAGGAATCCTTCGAAGTGAACATTAATTAAATGTTATATTGCAGGTGGTGACGGCTTCGGGTACTCCAGTTGGGGATGCACTGGCCACAATGGGTTCCATCCAACTCATTCCAGTGACGCAAGTGCTCTACCAGCCCACGGGCAACCTCTTGAATATTATTGAGGCTTCACCTATTCTACAGAATCTTGCTCAGGCCATGCGTACCTCCCAAGTCACGTGGATGCTCTCAGGTGATTGAACAAACAATATTAAATAGCCTTGAATAAACACTGCCCACTGTGATTCAAATGATTTATTAAATCTATAAATTTACCTACGGCACTGTAAAAGCAGTTCCAATGGTTGGTGAGCAATGTGTTAGACCCTTTAGTAATGCTTTTTCGCTTTAAGGAGCGTTCACTCAGCATGCACCTCCAATTGCCGCCGAGCGAGAACCAGAATGTGATTTATCAGTTTTTTGCGGGAGAATAAATTTTACCATTCTGGTTTTCCATCTTTCTCAGCGTTGATCAGAATTGCATGAAATGCATGAAGTGAGAACGGCTCTTAAAAAGTAGAACTAAAGAAACTGAACTTTCTTTGACCAAAATGAAAAGTGATATTACCCTTAAAGGTGTTTTTCTAAGCTATTTCGCAAATAGAAATAAAAAACAGATGCACTGCTTTTAAACGTGAACAAAAAGCTATAATTTTAAAATAAATATACAATATATCTAATCTGAGTTCTCAAAATGTGTAGAATTGAAAATCCTGTGGTCTATTGTTCTGAGCAGTAACATGGGTACAATATGGAGAAAACTTTCTTCCCCTTCAGATCTATGTCTGAACTTAGGAAGTGACCTCACTAATGAGATCCCCTCGCAGAAGATCAAAATTGTGAGGGCATGTCTTAGGAATATCCTCAGGGATATTTCCCAGACCGTCGCCAATAAACCATTGTGCAGCTCCAGTACGACGTAAATAAAGTACCTATTTACGATATTTCTAAAATTAATTATCTGGGCTTTAAAACGGATATATAATATTTAAATATTTATTAAGAAAAAATATTTTTTTAAAAATTAAAATTGCTATTGGGCGAGATTTTTTCACTTAAATGAGTTTGTTAAACCAATAGATATTAATTATTCAAATATTAAATAATTAAATAATTAAATCACAAAGACCTTTCATTTTCGCAAAACTAAGGTTTTTCTTCATATTGACAATTTGTGCGATTTTTACAATTGGCGATCGCAACACTCGAATACGCCATCTGGGGAGAGATCTATTTCATGCCTTTGACCCTCCTCTTTTCAGTTGTATAGGAATATGCAACAATATTTTCCCCTTTCTTACTATTTATCCTTTTTACTTAATAAAAATATTTTTTAAAACTTCCGTGATGCTTTTCTTTAGGACTATGTTTAATGTAGTTTTCAGTTCTATTTAGCTTTCGAACTTAAAAGATTTTAAACTAGACTCTATAACAAAAAAAACCGACGCACCTAGAAGGAGTTGTCCAATTGAAACGAAAATCAGTGGATAGGAAGACAATGTACAGAATAGTAAATGATTAAAATTTCAGAACAATTGAATAATTTATTGCAGAGTTACAGTAACAAGTTCAATAAGGTGTTGATCCGCCTCTAGCCTTGATACAAGCTGCCGCACGGCGTGGCTTATATCGATAAAGCTCCCGGATGGTCTCTTGCGGTATTTCCTGCCAAATTCGATCCAATTGTCGACCGAGGTCATCAACATTCCGTGCCAGATGCAATCGCCTTCCCATCATATCCCAGACATGCTCGATGGGAGAGAGATCTGGTGATCTGGCAGGCCAAGGAAGAGTTTGACAAGCTTGCAG